ATTTGTAAGATAAGAATGACTAAAGTAAATGCAACTAGCTGTTGAAAGTAGAATGTTTTATTTGTTTCTGTATCGAATGCGCCAGCTACATATCTGTTGAGATGTATGTCTAATGAAAATCAAGAAATTGTTTTATTTTTCTATAAATATTGCAAGTCGAAGTATTTACAATAAATGTGAACGTCGTTGTCGCGCTCGTAGCATTGCTACCTACCAAGTATTTTTTTTGTACGAAATTCCGCGAAATAATTTCGAAATAAATTGCTGTCACGTAGAAAGATACGATAAAAGTGATATCGGAAAGTTGATAACGACGTCGGTATTTGATTGATTTGTTTACTAGGCTTTTTATACTCATCTGAAATTTGACAAATAAAAGCGTTGGCCGCTCGAGTTCATCATCACATCACATGAACAGCCTTTAGTAATCCACTGCTTGAGATTTTGGCCTACTATAGCATGCTGGCCTGACGGGTTGGTATAGGGTTTGTTTCCAAGTTTTTTTCTGACTGAAAATATTTATAAACAAAGTAGTCGTAGTTTACTTTGTCAGGGATACAGGAAACGATATAGGGTAGCTATGACCTTTCCTGTGTCTCTTTTTTATTTCCCTCCCGGAAATCCCCTCGGATTCCACCTACCGTTGGCTATGTCGGACTCGAACCGACTAAAAACCGCACGCCATCTCGGGTACCAGTAGCCGGGGAACCAGGAGTACCCTAGAAAAGAAATACCTGGTACTCCGACGTACCCCGGGGCATCTACGGCGGGTAGATGACCCCCTCCTGTGTGGGAACCCCCATGGTCCCTTGGTGCTCCTCTCTCCCCTTTTGGGCACGCGCGCTCCGAACCTCGTCTCGCCTCCACCCCGGCCTGCTTCTGCTAGGGTGACAGATGGCCTCACCTGTCACCCCCAGGCCTGCGCCTATGGTGGACGGAGGTCTGCGGTACCTGGCACGCCGGGCATTCTGCCAACGTGTGGAGGGCCGTGTCCACGGTCCGGCCATCGCAGTGGTGGCACTCAGGCGTTGGCTCCTTGCGGATCCGACACAGGTGATCTCCAAAACAACCTTTAACGAAGATCACCTGCGTCAGCCGGTAGGAAAGGGTTCTGTGACGCCTCTCGAGCCAATCCTTCATAATGGGTCTTACCGCCGCAACAACGGCGTGCCCTCAGCTCGGTTGCCCAAGTCGTTCCTTCCACTCCTCTACGAGGACCCGGTGCAGTTGGGATTTCTGGTCCTCGATTTCTCAAGTCTTTCCTGTATCCCTGACAAAATTAATTTCATGTTGATCGGGTGACCAGTCAAAGTGTAAAATTGTAATAAAGAAAACCAGCAGAAAAACAGCACTGAGTTGGTAGGAGTTGGCATTTTAACAAATGTAAATGAGTGAGTTGCAATTTTAATTGCCGATCATTTGACTCCACTGTCAGGAATCAACGATTCGGATGACACATTCTGTATTAAATTCTCTAATCTAACTACGAAGGACTACAATTACTATTAGAAAATCAAACTACTAAAACTGCACTCTCCGTTGCGTGTAGTTCAAACGGTATACTAATAACTTTTTATAGTACATGATAAAATCTATTATTTCCTTGGCAATATCAAGAGTCCCGGAGGCTGTATACAGTTTTTGTGCGGACCCGGACGAATGCTTCCTGTCTCCGGTTCATTGGGACGGCTTGATGAGCATTATAGGATTAAAAAACTGGTTAGCTATGCAAGGGGCAGGATATCAGTTTTAAACGGTATTGTGATACGTCTGGGTTCTGATGGAAATAAGAGTTCTTGTACAGTGAAATAAATATATACGAGTATACTTACTGAAAAAATAATTGAACTGTTTTTAGGAAAGTTATTTTATACATTTTTTTTAAATTGGCGTTTTAAATTTAGTGGCTGACTTTTATCACGGGCCCTTCCTCATCTATAAATATCAATCACTTCAGGTTTTATTCAGAATGTTGTGGGTCCGATCCCGATCGATTTGTGTAATCCACAAATTGTTGTTCTGAGTCTGGGTGCTCTTTATGTCCGTTTTAAGAATTTTTGTAAAGTCCCCCGCAACACAGGTTTTATTCTAATTGGCCTGTAAAAAAAGGCATTATTAAATATAATGCTATGTAATAGAAATATCTTCAACTTAGGTTTACTTTTTTATATTTTAGTTTAGTTTTATTTCATTTTAGTTTTAGTTATACTATCATTGAGAGATTATATAAATATACTCATAATATTTCTGGAAATTCACGCTAATTAGTGTCATCTTAAAAAGACAGGTGCAAGTAGGACTTCTTATCAGAAGCTTTTTGTAACAACGATACAAAAAGAATAGGATTAAAAACACAAAAAGACTTTACAGAAATAGCTATTCTATAAAAAAATTAACTATCTGATTTGACATGATATATGATTTGATATTGACTTAATAATGAGGTTCCGGTGAAACCAAATTTCTAAAAAGTGCCTTTTAGCAGTATCCTCAGCAGCAAAAAAAAAGTGAAATATTCGAAATATTCCGAAAACATTTACTTTCTTACTCTCTCTTCTAGGCAGAATTACTATATATATAGTACCTGCAGAAAAAATACAACAGATAAAAACAGCATTCGCACCTTGTATTGATACACCCCTTTGTTAACTTGTTGGTATACTCTTATTCGACCGGACATACATATTTCAATATAAACATACGTATAAATTTTTAAATACACACATATTTTATTATATTACACAAAATTACAAAATAAATGTATCCTTGATATTATGAAATGCGATATTGGAAATGTGGTGACTTATTAAGAATACGGAGTGTCCCCAACCCCTATTCATCGCGTAGATGTCGGAAGAGCTGACTGTGGGGAAAACTACGCAGGACAACAGCACTGCAAAGAGAAGGAAAACTAGCCAGTGTGGTACGAGTATAGTAGACCAAAACCTCTTTTTTAAAAAGAGGCCTATGTGTATGATGATGTGATGATATTTTTCAGACTTTTTGTAAACAAGTGTTAGTATGAAAGACCACACAAATTGGCGATGCATCGTATACGATTCAAATAGTTGATAGCCTACGTAGTCATTTCTTTTTAAACCTAGCCGATTGCTCACAACAAAAAAAAAGAAAAGTAAATGAACTGAAATTATTTAAATCACGAATATGAAATTCGGGGATAAATGGACTAAAATTTGTGGCCTATTTTCTGTATTCTTTATCTTTTAAAATAAATATGAGTTGTAGTAATTTAAAAAAAAAGTGATCAATATGTTGTCTTCGTAAGAAAATAACTTTTCTGTCAGCCGTCGTTGATTAGAAACTTCTATAAACAATTTCTTTAAAACTAAAGTTGAGTTAAATTTATATGATGGTGTAGTATTTTCTTTAGAAAGTGCGTTAAATTCAGTTTCAGCTAGTGTTATCAGCAGGTGCGGTGACGTGGTGCGCTATCGTGCGCCTACACAGGTTATCGCCGGAACTGCATGTTAAGCGAATTACTTGTAAATCTTTAGAAAAAATACTGTTTGTATTCTAAAACTCGGCTGTGACTAAACTTAGTAATTAGGGATTGTAGCCTGTCTACGTTTACCAGAATTTGAAATTCTATTTTGATACTGCAATTTATTGTATACCAGGCTGAGTTCGTAACCCGCCAACAGATACATATATAACCAGCATCTTGGTACGGTAAGGATTCGTGTAGTGATAGATTAAAAATACGGAGTGTCACCACCCATATTCATTCCGTGGGTATCGGAACAGCACTGAAAAGAGAAGGAAAACTTGAAACTAACCATATACCAACCCGTCTGGCCAGGGTGTATAGGAGGCCAAAACCTCCTTTCTAAGGAGAGCATACGTCTAGCAGTCGACTATTAAAGGCTGTTGATGATGATGATGATGATCTTGGTAAGTGGTTACCAGGAGTTTATAATAAATAATATGTGTAATTTTAGCTACACCTTGTTTTTTAATATCACTAGTCTATTTAAAAATCTCCAAACATTTAAATCCTTATCAACATGTCATGTGTTTGGTGAATAAATTCACGTACTTTAAAACTCTGATTTGGTTGATTAGCGTAAGGTTTTGATTTCAATTCAATGGTCATATGCCAACAATGTTTAAAGAATGCAAACATGGTACAATCATCTGCTCAGTCTGGCTGTGATATGGTACCCACAAGACTCTTAATGCCTGGGAAGATTCACAACGGCATGGGAAGAGACTGAACTAACAATACAGGTCACTGAACTTCTCATCAGAGTTATCTTTTCAAGATTCCATGTCTCTCTCGTTTCCAAACTATTCAACAGATACAAGTTATTGTTTTGTTTATTTTCTAAAATTCATTATGATAGATCAGTATTAGAAAGCAAAATGCAGTATACTTTAAATAAAAATGCAAAGAAAAATGAGTCGATTAGTGGCAAGTAGGGCAGGTATCGTAATTATGAGACAAAATGGTTGAGGTCACATCTACCTACACTCTCAGCGTGACAACAAAACCAAGAAAGATGATGGGAATTTAATGGTTGGTAGTAAAATTGGGATCACCAAAAAATAACGGCGCTTTCAAAGCATTCAAACTTCAAAGTAGAAGTGAAGAGTATACAGTATTTTTTTAAAGATTGTTTTATTTGATAATACTAAGTCATTAAAGCAAATACATACTTACATACATATACATAAACGATAGGATAAAGAATTATTAAATATATTAATTTAAAGAAACTGAACTGATTAAAGAATCAATATTATAAACAAATGAAACCGACTCTACACATTCATAACGCTGCCGTTCTACCTAAAACAATTGTTTGTGTTTACAAGAACTACAATCAGTTAAGCAATCATTCTTTCTGATTGTGCGAATTCAGCTGTCGATTGAGCATGGCTTCATATTACAACAATTACTTTAGTGCATGCATCTTTATTTTACCTCTTTTTTTCATATTACTACGATAATAACGTCAGAGTAACAATTGAACCATCATATGCCTCTCAATAAATCTTCCTTCCGACGAACGGGGGCTAAGTTTTCGGCGCGTGAGTCAGGTGTCGCGAGTAAACAGACGGAGGGCTGGTCGTCGTCCGACGAGCCGCCGTCCCTCGTCAATATATGGAGCGGACCAGTGGCGCGAACATTCGCGGCACGTCCTTTGTTGGCCGTTTTGTTTTGGAGTACCATCCGGTTCCTGGTGGTGGGGCAGGGGGGACAGGTGGGCGCAGGTAGCGCGCGCGGCGGTAGTCAGTTCACCTCGGCGCGTCGAGCTGCGCGAGCGCCTCGCCCGTTCATAAATACTATCTAATATGGAAATAGCCAGTCATTCCGCGACAGGTGCGCGCCCGCGGCGTTCGTGCACGTGTGCTGTTTGTGAGTGCGCCGGCGCTGCCACTGCACTGCCTCCGTGACACCAATGGTAAGTTTTTCTATTTTATTTCTGTGAAAAATCAAAACCTACTTTAAAACTGGCTGCCACTTTTTGTCGTTTCTATAATAACAGCGTCGGTTGCTCACGCGCATCTGCCGTTCCGTTTTGGTACAGCTGTTGGTCGGTGAATAGGTAGGTATCATATTTTTTTTTTGATTACGCCTTAAAGTTGAGTTGAATAGCACACCCTTTCATGTTGTCTAAGGGCTCTACAACACATTTAGTGAAGTGTAAAAGTCTGGCGCGTTCACACGGTCGCAACGTTTCGCGTGTTTCTGTTACCTGAGTAAATATTAGTTCGATAACGTCCGCGAGTGCGTGCGTGTACACTACTGTTATCGATTCCACACATGCGTCATTTCGATGGTTATCTTTGGGCGGATCTGGGTCATTGTTCTTTTGTAATTCGTACACTGTTGTTTCATAATGTTGGTTTCTCCCTAAATGTGGAATTTCTCCATCTGTAATAATCTACAATTGTAATATAATAAAATTCACTCTCGACTGAATTTTGAAGGTAAGCACTGTTAAAAATTGACCTTTGTAATAATTTGTACAAAGTTTCGAATTGTTTCGTGATGGTCGTTACCGACCGTGTAACAAAAAGCAACAAAAACTCGGCTACTTTACTAATGTACAAGCAAAAAATATATTTGTCTTGTCGTACCTAACACCTGTGCGATTCAGTAAAATATTCATACTTATAAGCAGAAACTCACAACTCCGAAATGCATGGATAGTCTTGTACTAGAGTACAATCTTATAATGTATTTATAGAGGATCTATACAGGTGTTAAAAGTCGATTTACAATCGTATCAAATCGATTATACATCGTGTGCGGGAACGAATCTCTAAAATAACCTGAAGTAAAAGAGAAGTAACCATGGCTACGAGAGAATGGGTGGCATTTAATTCTCATGGCGATATTGCAGGTAAGCCAATAATGAAGAATCGATTTAAAAATCGATTACAGACACCATACTACACCTGAGCGAGGATCTAAGATTGAACAAACTTAATGGCGAAACTAAGTTTAATTGAGTAATCTGTTGCCAACTTGTTTGAACGTCTTGAATTTACGAAGTTTATACAACTTCGTAAATTCATACATATTTCTTTAACGCTTTGCCTAACAAAACCACGTGTCTGATATTACCTTTATGGCTTATGAAGGAGCATCTACGGTGCACACCGATACGTTCATTATCTTATTACTCGTGGTGTGACTATTTCGAAACGAATAGGTTTTTCCTGTCGCTACGCTCTGTCACCCACGAATTAAGTGACAATAAAATTTGATAAAAGGAAGGCTAAACAATAGTTTTCGTTGCGATTACAATTGTATGGACGTTTCAGTCATGATTTCATTTTAAATAAAAAAATGTAATGCAATTGTCTACGTTGTGTAAACTAGATAACGATAAGATTTAGACGACGCGAAGCTAAAATTAAACAATAACTTTGGTAATCAACGATAGCAAAAAGCTCTGTAATGTAGAGCTGAGATTGTTTTCAATTATTTTCAAATGAAGAGGAACAGATTCTGCCTTAATAATACCAATTAGTATAGTAATGCAGTTTGCTGTATTTTTTGTCTTTAATTATTTATAAACAGAATATTTAGACTAACCTATTTTTAACTAAAGCGATGATGTATATGTATCAACACTTTCATATACCGAGTCATTGGCAAAAATAAAGTGAGAATCTGGGTAAAATGACAAATATATAAAAAAAACATAAACTAGTCCTCTCGACAGTAAAAGACAAACACGTATTCATGACTGTCGAGAGATGATTTAATCAAGTTATAGGTACAGACTTATCCACGTGCTCAACTATTTTGTATTCCTCGACTGTTTCGATTGGGCAAAACTACGAATTGAAACTTTGAACCTTTAAATTTTAATGTAAAGTTAATTTTGATTAATTAAATGTTACTTGGCAGACAAAATTATTTATATAATTTTTTTTCCTACTTTGTATCTATATCTCCACCAGGTATTAGATTGAAATAAAACTTCAAAGAAGATTTTTTGACTAACACTAAAACTGAACTACTCGTACAACTAAAAAATGGAAGTAGGCTTAAAAGTTTAGTCTCAAAGATGCTGTTTTAAAGCTAGTCACCAACAATTTCTAAATCTTTTTCGAAAACAATTTCTTTCATAAATTGAATAGACAGTGACTTAACATGAGCACAAAAGCGAAGCGTACCCAGATCTACCCAAAAAACTGAATAAAACCGCCCAATGGAAACACGAACATTTAATAGAGACCGTTCGGCAGCAAGACGCTGTCCGAGACCAGATTTCTAATCGTCGGCGTCACGCGTGGCTCCCCGGCCGGAACGAATTGTACAGATAAGCATCGCCTAGCTGTTGCCACAACTAATTGGAAGAAAATAGTCAAAATCTGATCTACAAGTTACTTTCGATGTTTAGGATAAAGCTGAAGCCTTCCTTTTCATTACACACCAAAACTATTTCTGCAATGTTTTTTCTGTATTTTTTGATGTTAACTTTTTTTTAAACAGAAATTCGAAAATTGAAGTGAAGATATTTGAAGTTAGTGCTTGTTTCATTGAAAACGAAGGAAAGCAGAACAAAATTGTTTTACGTGTAATCATTTTATGGTACAAAATCATGTCTAGTCTAGACCTTTCAAACTATGTTATGTTTGTTAAAATTGCAGCCAATTTATTATAACCCAACCCACTGCCACACCTATACGCTTAAGGGCTATAAAAACGGTATCCAGTCATTTATTGATTAGTTGAAACCAACACGTTGTGTAAGTTACTCAAATATTTGATATAATTGTTTAGAAAATAATGATTAACGGTGTGGTGTCAACAGCAATAAACAATCACGATTTACCAGAAAAATAAATAACTCATTTGGTTTATTTGTGATAAAAAAGACTTACGAAGAACGTAATTTTAAACATAAATATCCAGAAGAATTGCCGTCTGAAAAGTAATATGGGCACAACTAACTCGTAATGTCATTAAATGTGTTAACCCTCTACTTTGTTCACTAATCATTGATCTTATCACATGTCTATAGATAAAAATAAGATTATTGGATGATCTGAATGTTTTCTGTTTTGTATGAATGGTATCTCATATTAATTGTCCACTGATAAACCCTAATCTTGTTTTGTATACCAACATAAGAAGTTAAATTTAAAGACTGGATGTCAAAATTTATCATATACAGCAAATACACAGAAACGAAGTGATGTGCTCACTCTCTCAGTAGTATAACCGAAATAAAATTTATCTAATGAAAAATAATTCATCACATTCATATTATCCCTGCGTTTGGTTCTCATAACCCCCAAAGAGGTTACAACAACTCAAAAATCACTGTGCCATAATGCCTCCAGCCTCGTCATGAAAAATGTCGACAAAAACATCAATTAGAACAACACAATTGAATAGACCTTGTTCACGTAGAAAAGGATCCGATGTTTTTTACCGACACGCATTAAGCAGTCATTAACTTTAGCTTTTGAGCAATTAATTAATGGAATATAATGAAGATTCGCACCAGAATCGAGTTTCATGTGCTCGTATTGTTACTAGAAATATGACGAATCTAGACTATTCTTTGAGAAGTCGGAGCATGAAATTGTGTGCACGAGGCGTATCGGCAATTTGCGTCAGTTTTTTTTTATCACAGTCACGACAGGCCGGATTCCTCGTGGTGCGGCCAATCGCCGGCTAGAGACGGTGTAATTGGGAGAAACTACTCGGCCACCACAAATGCTTAAGATTCGTTCTCGTCCAACTGACAGAGACCTTTGTAAATTCGTCTATCTACGTCTCCGGGACCTAATCTGAGCATCTTAGAGAGGCGTGGAAGGTCAAAATTAAATTGTTGCTCTATAATGACATGCTCGTTGTTCGGTCTGTTGCAACACATCTTATAACTGTATCGGCCCTTTTGTCTGATCAACGATTGTTTGAGCGATGTTCGATATTTCCTTAGCGGATATTGCGTATACCACTTTCGCGGGGTGTAATTATATTTTTTGATCGATCTCTACTCAGCTTTAAGTATTGTGCATATGTTAGAAATTCTGTGAATATGATATATCTCAGTATCTATAAATGTGAACAATTGTGGCTTTAGCTTATGCGTACTTTGTGAAATGGTCAATGCTTTATTTTTTTCTTTCGTGGTGTGGAGTTACTGAGAATAAGTGCATCTTATGAAAAATGAAGTAGAAAAAGAAACTGGAACTATCAAAAGCCAGTGGGGTGTTGTTCGGTTACAATGCTTCAGATCTTATACTTTCATATTTATGATGAATCTAAAACGGCTGTACTGAGTCACGACTGCCAATATTTACTATTGTAGTTTATCTTTGAAATATTATTGAAACAACAACGTTATGTATCGAAAACCTACAGATGTTTATAGATAAATCTGAATCATTTTTTTCATTTATATCTTTGTTGCATTGTTTCAAATATTAATGTACAAATATGTTATGATTACTCACATATGAGAATTGGCGGTCTTATCGCCCACGGTAACTTCTTCCAGACAAACTTTCTTTGTTGTGTTTTTTTTTGTTTCATAGTTTATTAATTGAAAAGCAAAAAATTATGTCAAATGAGTTTCAATAAGCCTCTTTACGCACTTTGTTGCAATTCCTAGCGTGCCTTTCATGCGTGGATGCAACAAAAATAAACGTTCAAAGTTCTTGCAACTCTTTTATAAACTTTTGTAACGGAAGGGACATACGTATCTTTCGTAAGCTGTGCATGCTTTTTCCCCGCTGCTACGAATTTATTTATTATTGTTTAAATGTGTTCTTGAAAGAATCCAGAATGATCCATTAATTATTATTCAAGTGAAAGAAATCTAAGTAATCATAATTTAACTGCATAATAAACCTACAAATGTTACTTAATATATATAATATATATCATAGAGAATAATATATATCCGGGTTACCAGCTTACTAATCACGA